CGTTTTACTCACATGTTGCACTATTTTTATGAACCTAAGACTTTGGTTAAACGAATTTCAAGCATCAAAACAATTCATCCACATCATAAGAGGTTTGGAGAATTAAAAAAAAAAACAGTTTCATCTTTTCAGCCGTTGAGCCGAATGATCTCTTTGCACAGAGCAAAGAGGGTCAAGAAGAGGGTTAATTACAGAAAGAGCCGAGATAGTTCTGAAAATTGTGTCATAAACACTTGGGTGTTAACTTACATGCAAATACCAAAAGAAATTATGCAGAAATCGAGAAAATACTCTTCTACCCTCAGAGGGTTAACGTCTGTGTTCAAACCTGTCTGACCCTGTACGTATATACGGTTACATCAAAGCCTGCAGCCGCACCATGCAGGCCATACGATGGACCATTACCTTCTCTAACACTGATAATGTCAGTAATCAGTGTCCTCCACTGACTAACCTTAATAAATGGTGGTTGTCAACAGAAAGTTGGAGTGATTCATTCTCCCCCCCCACATCTTTCCTTTTACCTTTTCATATTTTTCATCTTTTCCTTTGCGGTGTTTCACTGCGACAGCAACCGTGTTTGAAAGTACAGCATCGGACCTTCCACTGGTTTGGACGTTACAGGGTGAAAAGACTCGATGAGAAATGACCTTAAACATGACTCTTGTGCCCTGGAGCTGCCCACCGGCCGGCAGGAGAAACACTCTGATTATACTGGGCAGCTCCCAGGTAGCTGATGGTGGGAGGTCGGGAGGGTTACAGGGGGGGGGGTGAAGTCACGACCATCGGCTGAAAGAGAGAGAGACTGCGCTTTGTCACGTTGAATAAGCTCAGATGTTGCCATGCATCAGGAATGCAGCAGGAAAAAGTCAGAGGGGTGTTAGTACCTGCTTTATTTTTGTTTTTTTGTTTTGTTTGACACGGAATCATCACGCAAGATCATCATGTGATCGTTTTGAAATCATTCCCACACTTACAAACATGCGTCAGGTGATCCGGTCACAAGTGGACAGCCGGGTCACATGTGGCGGCGGTCTCTTCGACACATTGAAGGACCGTCCGCTCAACTGACGTCCTCTACGTGCGTACGGGTTCATTCATACTCATATTCAGCTGGTTCTCAAATTGCAGAAGCTGGCGTCTGGAAATCTTCTTCTTCTTCTTTTAATTTCTGGCAGATTCTGTCTTAGTTATAAAGTTTAAAGCTCATTTGGAGTTTTCTGTTTCTTGCTGCTAAGCTAGTTGTTAACTTTGTCTGCCTGCAGTTTGGTGGCGAGTGAGTAGATTAGGTTATACTTCATCATCAGAGCTTTGTTGCTGAAAACCGTGTCGTGCTCCAGGTGGGAATGAGGCTGAGGAGAACAGCGACACTGAGGCGACACAGAACAGTTGAAATCAATTAGCTGAAAGATGCTAAAGAGCTGAGGAGAACCGCAGAGTAGTTCTGCGTTGGTTTGTCACTGCTAACGACCCCTGCCACTTTACACGTGCTAATTAGACCCATTGTTAATATGAAAATATTGATTGGTGGAATTACAGTTACCTCAGTAACAACAGAGATAAACAAACAAGCAGCCAAAGCGGTTGACCCACCACCTTCACCACATCGCTTCAAGCTGTTTGCAGGGGAGGTCGCCCGAACCATTTTTTTTATTTGTCTCATTCAATGTTCCTGTGTTTTAGCGAGTGCTCACCAGTCGTTGTCAAGGTAACCGCACTCCAGCTGCAGCCGATGTCAGTGGCCGGCGCGTTAGTGCAGGACCTGCCTGTAACTGTGCATTAACAGTAATAAATCAGTCACTGTTACACTGTTGGTTGTTCAGCAGCAGAGTGACGTTGCAGCGGCTGCCGCTGATGAGAACTAAAAGGTGATGACAGTGAATTGAGGCCGTGTGTGTGTGTGTGTGAGAGAGAGAGATGTGTGTGTGTTGAGTTGGCATGTGTTAGTGTGAGAGGGCACATACACAGATGTGATGCACTGCAGGGATGACAGATAAACACCCAGCAGCCAACGTTTGGAGATGATCTTTTTGGCCTAAATAGCAAAACATGGAAAAATACATGAAATTGCCCGAATGGCGTCCATCCATCAGCAGAGCAGCTGCAAGAGGAAAGCTAATGCATCACACATGTTTACCTCTGTTAACAGAGAGGGAGCTCAGGTGCCCAGCATTTCTCTCCATCATCCTTGAGATGTTTCTACACCTCGACTGGAGTCCACCTGCGGAAGATGCAATTGATAGGACGTGATTTGGAAAGGCGCACACCTGTCAGAGCTGATGATTCATATCAGAGCAAAAAAACCAAGCCATGCAGAGCTCAGACAGGACGGTGTTGGAAGAGGATTAGGGACGTGTGAAAACATTTTTCTTTTGTTTTTAGAATTCAATTTCAGGAAAAACTGAGAAGGGCCTTGGTATGAGAGGTGACCGAGAACCTGATGGTCACTTTCTAACCAAGAGACCCACAGACAGTATGTGGACCTAACCTCCTTGCTGTGAGGTGACAGTGCACCACGTCACCCACAGAGGAAGAGGGGGAGAAGAAAAGGAGCAGGAGGAGGAGGAGAGTGATTACTGACGAGCAGTGGAGTGAAAAACCCGATGATTTAGGGTTAGCAGGCCAGTGCCAAGTAAAGGGATGAAGGACTTTAGCTTGAGGGCTGTGGAGGTCGAAATCACAATCAGCATGGACAGACCGAGGGAACAGAGTGGGGGGAGCGGCAAACTGTAGCGTGGAGAGGAGAGAGGCGAGGAAAGAGACTGAGTCAGGGAGAGTGTGAGTGGAAGAGGGAAGTGAGTAAAGATGGAGATGGAAGTTGGTCACATTACGATTGATTTATTTGTTGAGTTACTGTTAATATTTGCACATTCCCTTTTTTTTTTTTTGCACTCTTGTCCATCCTGTGATTCTACCTCACACCTGACTTTTTACTTTTAGTACATTTGCATTTATGCATTTTTGTATAAGCATACTTTGTTTATTTGTGGGGGTTTTTTTTGGTAGCTGTGACCTTTGACCTTTGACCACTAAAATCTAATCAGTTTGTCCTTGAGTCTTTTTATTTATTTATTTTTTTACCAAATTTGAAGAACATCCCTCAAGGCGCTACAGAGATATCGCATTCACAAGGCCAAAAGGCCAAGCTTTGTGAGGTCACCACACCCTTAACCTTTGACCTTTAACCCCCAAAGTCTAATCAGTTCCTCCTTGAGTCCCGGTGAATGTTTGTGCCAAATTTGAAGAAGTTCCGTCGAGGTGTTACTGAGACATCATGTCCACGAGCATGGTGACGGGGACGGTGACGGGGACGGGTGACGGGGACGGGGGACGGGGGGGGGGCAGGTGCATCCAGTTTCTAATGTCAGTCGTCTCTACCGGGACCTGAAGGCAGACGCACAACACAAGCAGTAACCAAGGACGACACACAGCCCCACAGGCCAGGGCAGAGCCAGAGGGCCGTCACAACAGATAGCAGATATGTTTTGCCCTCAGAGAGACTGGTGACCCGCACAGGCTCCAGCAGAAAAAACCATCTGCAGGAGAAGATGGATGTGCTCTGTACGCTGCACATACACACCTCCCTGCGAGCGAGCGAGAGAGAACAGGCATTAGCAGATGTGAATTAATACAATATTGACTTTTCATGCGTGCGTGTGTTGATATTCAGATCCTGTGAGTCGTTTCGCCACAATAACGTCTGGCCTTCCTCTCAGATTGACTCGTCTGCCTGCCCCTGCCTTTCCCTTCTCAGAATTGCCCTCCAGCGCAGCTCCAGTCTTTTTCTTTTCATCCTGTTTGTGACAAAAACTAGATAAAAAATAAGGTTTGTCCTCCAAAACGTGTGTGTCCCTGTGGTTGCTCACCTCAGTATGGTTGCCCTTCACGATCCTGCTATTGTTACTTTTCTATGCGGTGGTATTGGAACTTTTATTTTTCATGTTTTTTTTAGCCACGTCTCTGCACGGCTGTCTGTCGTCCACCACTTTTAATCCAGACTGAAATATCTCAATAATAAATGTGCACAATGGACCAAGACTCACGTTTTCTGGTGTATTTGATTCCACCAATGTTTGAGTGATATACTCTTCCCTGGCGTGGAGAAATGTAGTAAATGATGCAGAGGTTGAATCGGCCGCTTCAGAGAAGGAAGTTAAATCCAAACCTTTCCCGGTTTATCGAGTGTCGATAAGCAAGTCTCTTTTGGGAAGGCAAATGTAAGATATTAAATCCACTGTTTATCTAGCTAAATACTGTGATGCTCATTGTGAATTTACCCATCCTTTCCATTTGTTTGATTTGCTTTTTCTGCGTTATTTCACTTTTCTTTTTTTTCTTTTTTTCTTCATGTCAAGCAAATGTAATATTATCTGTGCAAATTAGCTTGTCCTAAGCCATTAACTTTCTTTTCATGGCATTAACAGAGATTGCAATGCTGATAATTGGATTGATAAATGGACAAACTCAAGACATATATCATTTTGGATGAGAGCCGTCGCTCCGTGCCCCTCAGCCTGTAAATATAAAGCTGATGACAGATGTGTTTATCAGACGTGAGGCAGCCAGCGCGGACGTCTGATTTAATCTGTAACAAACCTATTTGTCTTTTAAGATCCTCTTTGAGTCAAATCGCCTCACAGGAGGTTTTCAACGTGTAACAGCAGTTTCCAAAAGTCTCCATTTTCCGGTGCTTGAAAAAACTGAAAACGTAGCAAAAGAGATGCGTTTTAAAACGAGGACGTAGTGGCGTGGACGTAGCCTGAGTGGAGAGAGCTGTGAACGCCGGCTCTCAGTCTTCCCCTCGAGCTGCAGTCACCATCAAACATTCAGAATTGAACAGAACAGTTTGTGTATTGTCCAACCACATGTAAAGATAATACCTGTTCTGAATGGCCGCAGTTGGCCATATCCAGATGTTCTGTTGATGGTCTGTTAGTAAGACGTGCCGTGTCAACGTTTATTATTATTATTTTTTAACATTATTCTCTTCTGTGCTGCAGATAAAATAGAAAACGGAGATGTTCACCAGAGGAAGAGAGGACCTCATGCGGGCACCTCAGATGGACAGGAAACAGGAAGTAAACAACAGGAAGCGGTTGGGAAGACGGGAAGCAGCTGGAGACGCATTCTTCTCCTCATCCTTGCGATCACCATCCACAACATCCCAGGTGAGAGCGAAGCCACGGGGCGATATCTCTCAGGTATCTCTCAGGTATCTTTCTTTCTTCGGGGATCTTCCCATTGATTCTGACTTCACACAGCAATTATGACAAATTATGTAACCTGAAACTAGTCTTAGTGGCGGAGGGATACGATAATTGTAGTTCTTTTTTTCGTGAGGGGTTTTACCAAAGGAAGAAAATATGATGAAGAAGATAAATATAACAAGCTGAACTGACATTACAGATGTGATGTGAGCTGTATTAGTGATACACATGTAGATATAGTGTCATTACCAAGGCACGGTTCATTTAGAAAAACTCCAACAATGAACATGTGCCGCCACATCTTCAGCAGCTCAGGTTGCTCTGTACGGAGAGTGGAAATGCAAATACTTTGATTCTTTGCTTGGAGAAAGTTGTTTGAAAAAATTTATGGTGAACAATCCTGTTAAACAGATTCTGCAAGAATACGCCGTGCATTATTGAACCCTACTCCAATCTGTCAATTCTAATAAGCCAATTAGACTAATGACCTGTCAATCACACATCACAGACGACACCCAGGGAAGAGCGGTGAAATGTTTTAATTCAGGAAACAAAGACGACACAATTCATGTAAACATCAACAGAGAAGGAATTAACGGTGATTACTCACATTTAAAGGGGCTGACAGAAGACCACCAACACAGAAATTCATAGTTTGATTTACATGTAGCTTAAATGCTTATGTTTTATTTTTTTTCATATCTTATTAGAGAGCTTGGGCTGGGCTGAGAGCGGTAGCCGATGTGAGCCTATAAAGCCGACTCGGACAGTGTGTTTGTGTAAAATTGGCGGCAGAAATAATCTTGAGTTCCCTAAACCCCTTTCCCTGTAGTTCTCCTCAGTAAAGTCGAGCTTCAGAATCTTTTCTCGCCTGTTGTGTTTCACCTCAGTGGAGAAATTGGAAGATGTTCTTGAGCCGCTGTAACACCACATGTCTTACACTGAGTTTCATTTAATCCAAAGACGTGAAGTGACTCGCTTTATTCTTCCCTACAAGTCGTTCGAACGCCTCACGGGGACGAAAGGTCTTATGTTCCCACAACTCTCCATGAAATCAACAAAAGCATTTACTGGTGTCTAAAAAGAATAAAACGGGAACAACAGTGTAAAGTTTTCAAAGGTAATAATTTTGGGCTGTTGGCTGCTTTGCTTTTCCCACAATTCTTTGCATTTTTTTATTAACATACAAATCTAACGCCACACGTATTCAATAGATTAATTAATTCACATTAATTCATTTAGGTTGCTGTGTGAGATTTCGAGGTATTTTGAACTAAAACATGTTTCAATCATTTTAATTTTAAGAATATTTTGTCCCATTTCTACATAGTGTTTGTAGATGTGCAATGAATCACAGTATCTCCTCTGTGGATCTCAGTTTTCATTGCTGCAGTCTCATTTCGTCTTTCTGATTGGAGGGAACGATAAACTATGAGGCTTCACACTTTCAGACTTTCCTGCATTTGTGAGGAAATGATTAAATCTTTTGCTCCTCTACATTCATCTGGTGGTTTGATCAAAGGTGGAAATACAGAACGCATCATGAGCAGAGCGTTGAGCTGTGGACAATTAACAATTTGCTCACATCAAAGTGGAGTCCTCATAATTAACGAGAAAATGCAATTTCACTTGTTTTAATGATTTTCTGTCACTCCTGATTTGTTCTATCAGTAACAGCTAAATTATATTCACAGTGTGGAGCTATTGTTTGCTCCAGGAAGTGGGGATGAAAAGCAAATTAAGTGCTGTGTGTAGGAGGAGATTAAATGACGGTGGCTATGTTACCAAACACTCACATTAAATGTGAGATTTGATGTAAAAGGCCGCTTCATTAGTGACTGCAGCCGTTCACCGGTCACTGCATACACCTCAGTTCTCATCATTGTAATGTATTCATCCAAATGTGCTCCTATACAAACACACACACACACACACACACACACACACACACACACACACACACACACACACACACAGGGACTGCACGTGTTATAGGTTGTAGAGATCTCCTCTGAGACTGTTAATGAAACAGACCTCCCACAGCTTCAGCTGCCGACCAGCAAAACAAAACTCACTGAGCACAAATCAAATTAAGATGTGATTCACATCTGCAATTGACTGAGTCTAATAAGTTGAACCCGACCGTGAATTCTGTCTGTGCGTTTCCTGCTCGAAAAGGCGGGAACGAACTCTGGCATTTAGAAAAATATGTGGCTTCGATCATTGATTCGATTTATTTCTTTCATACGTATCACAATCTCGAGCTCGTTGTTACACGGTGAAAATTTAATTTTTGTCAATTTTTTGCCCAGAAAGTTTGAGTTTCAAACGACAGCTCGGCATCATAACTGCTCGTTATCCATTAATGTTATTCACATGCCCATTTCATTCATAATAAAAGTTTAAAAAAAGGAGAAAAACATTATTGATATCAACAGTACTTTCTTCTTTCTGTATACAGCGGGATGTATCCTGCTGTAATGTGGCGTTATGTGTAATTTTTGCAGACACAAATTGCAGCAAACGGGAATCTTTGAAACCCACGTTCACCAGGTAATCATGTCATTTTCCTCCAGCCACAAAGCGCTGAGGTTCTTACACACACTCTCTCTCAGCGGCTGAAAAAGCTCTATTTTATACAGAAATCTTGGTTCAATACTAATATTAAACTGTTACATTATTAGCTGCTGAAAGAAAACAGCCATTTAGTGAGTGCTTTTTCTCGGGGTGTGATAAGTGCGCTGCTCTCGACACCTGGCGCTCCCCGCGGGAATAGAAGCTCTCATTCTGGTGGTGTCAGTGTGTTGCTCTTCCGCTCGAACGACGCAAACACCAGCCGCATAATAACACGTGGCGATCTTCAAAGAGGCTCTCAGGCAGAGCCGTGACAGGGGTTCGGTGACGGTCTATCAAACTGAGCGGGAAATTGATGGCCGTCCTCCACCGCTGGGTTGATCCTTGTTAGTTTGACGGAGGGAGGGAGGGAGGGAGGTCACTGACAGCGAACTGCAAGCGGCTGCTCTGAGCAACAGGCCATGATACCGAAATATCGCTGCATTGATAGTGATATTGTAATAGAGTATACGATGTCATAAGCCATTTTTTAATATTGTTGTCCAGGTAACGCAGACTGAGCAGTTTGCTGTTTGCTGTTTGTTTGTTTGCAGTGACATCGGGCTTTTACAAAAGGGGATATTTGGTCACCAACATAATTTTATTAAACTAAACTTGATGCTGTGAATAATAATCACAAGTGAAGTCCAAGTATAAAGTAGAATCACCGCCTCACCGGTTGTATCCCTCCGCCACTCGGACTAGTTTCAGGTTACATCCCTGTTTTTTTTTCATAGTTGCTGTGTGAAGTCCTGAGTTATGGCTAAAAAGTGTTTTCTGAGGTTCACCGTGACCTTTGACCTTGGAATACCGAAGTCTAATCAGTTCATCCTTGGGGTCCAAGTGAAGGTTTGTACCAAATTTGTAGAAATTCCCTCGAGGCGTTACTGAGAAACTGTGTTTTGTGAGGGTCACCATGACCTTGACCTTTGACCTTTGACCTTTAGCCACCAAAATCTAACCCTGGTGAATGTTTGTGCCAAATGTCCACGAGAACGGGACGGACGGCCGGACAATCCGAAAAACTGTTTCTCTCCGGCAAATTCATGACATCAGTCAGAACAGTGACGTCATACTGACCAATCAGCTGCTCTGTTTCTCTTTCTGTTCCAATAGAAAACAGGGAGGATTTTCTATCACACAGGATATTTTCTCCAAAGCAAATCTCTCTTGGAGTCGCTCTGAATATACAGGTCTGCGATGAGCTGCCATTAATTAGACATTCCAAGGGAGTAAGTCGTTTCTCATCAAGCAATTTGTATTTTGTGATCCAGTTATGATGCATGTCGAAATGTCACCTCGCTGTCCCTGATGAGGGGAGGAAGAACAGCAACGGCATAAAGAGCAATGAGAGGAGACCTTGATGTGGTTGAAAGAAACATCTGCCCAGCAAGAGAAGAAACAACAATAGTAAAAAAAATAAATAAATTTAAAAAAAGGAAAGTTGTGCAGTAGAAAAGAGGAGAAGGAGCTGAGAGAGGGGAGGCGCAGTAATGTGGAGAAGGAGACGGGAGAGGAGATTAAAGGAAAGTGCAGTGGAAATGAGTGGCTGCTGTGACAATGAGCTGTCAGCTGCAGTGTCGCCAGACTCGCTTAAAAGAGCATAGAACATTAAGCAGGAATTGGGTAGGACCAGCCACTGTGCACACACACACACACACACACACACACACACACACACACACACACACCAAAACGAGTTTCCTCTTGGGAGTGAAAAACGGATGGAGAAAAAAAAAAAAAAACATACACAGGTGACAATATAAAACATTTCTCATTTCCTCCATGACAGAGTTAAAGACTCACAATCAGGTCCGTTCTCAAGAATCATCTCAACCAGATTTCCCTCTTTGCCTCCGACGCTAGTGTGACTCTAGTGCAGTTTATTCAGACTCCTCGTGTGATTTTAATTTATTTAATTATTACTGTTATTGTAGCGGCTGCGTCAAGTTTCCTTTTGTGATGCAAAAGCAGAGAGTTCATGCACAGACATCCTCCAGCCATCCACTGATACGGGATAAAAAATAAATAAATAAGTAAGAAAAGATTCTGGTGTTTTGGACTTTTACAACATTCTTGAGTCACATCAGTGTCAGAGCAGACACCAGTACCTGTTCCTCCGCCGCTGCCCCGTCTCCTCGGCTGTCAGTCCTGTCAGGAGTTCTGCAGCTGAAGCCAGGAGAGTAAAAAGTTTAGTTTTTATCCAGTACCGTCCAGTCCATGAGATATTCACTTCATGGACATTCATTTAATGGAGATTCCAGCAGAGACACTGATGCATGAGTCTCGTGAGTAAAACCTTGACAGGTGTGTGGGCATTTAGTGCTCCCCCGCTGCTGACCCTGAACTCTGTTTTGGAAGAAAGACTTGTAGCTCGGCAGACTTGCAAAACACCCCCCCACCCCCCGCTCACATTTCCAGCTGTGCAGCAGTACTCCAGGTGAACAGCTGCTGTTATTCTTCGGCAGCATAAGTGGCGTTCCTGAATTACGAGGACAATTAAGTGATTATGTTGAACGTGTGATACCGTTTCTTTGGGATGTTTGAAACTTAGAGACACGAAAGAAAACAAAAGGAGGAAAGTCGTCGTTGTGGAACGGCATCTTTAGATCAGTTTAGATTTTAGAAAACGTCTGGCCCGCCCCCAGCCTTGTTCTAGCTGCGCCAAACACCAAACACTGAAACTCTCTAAGCTGATGTTTTATTCAGACTCTCCAGCGCAGATAGTTTCTAATGGCTGGTTTCTAACGGCACCGTGGCATTTCATTTCAGACAGGATTGAGATGGATTGAACCCACAGTGTAACTGAAGGGTGCTTTCTCCCCATAATGCAGCCACGGTATGTTCACCTGTAATGGGCCGGTGAGAAGTTGATGTGAACCCGTGTGCATTTGTGGTGAGATGTGATGACAGGCGCTGGGGTTATAATGAAGTGGCCGCTGGGCTCTGGACGTCTGCAGCTGCTGATCTCTTACTCTCTTGCCATTGTGTCGCCTCTCCGCTCTTTCTATCGTCTGTCTTTTGCTTCTTCTTTCTTCTCTTATTCTGTCTTTAGCTTGTTCTTGGTCTGAGGCAGTGTAGCTTGATGCAGGCTACAGTCATGTGATAATGGAACGATATATATAGGAATGGAGAGAAGTGGTTGAAGGACGGTAAACAACACACCAATTACTAGTATATAATAAGCATTTAAGCCCTTTCCAGTCACTGATGTTATGCCACTCAATTTAAAGAGCTTAAGACTTAAAATAAAGAGCTGGAAATGAACATACATGTGTCTTAGTGTCTTATTAGGAGCCACTGTGTGCTGCAGCCTCAGTGCTGCTCAGCATTGATTCGACAGGATGAAATACAAAACGTCCCATCGCTGATCAGCTGTATTGAGATCTGTTGTACTCATCAAACCATTCCAGGTGGTTGTACAAAAATATCAACAATACATTTTAAAAAAACCTTCATTTGACACTCATTCTGGCTGCAAGAACAAATGACTAAATATGACTCCAGTTTTCCAGCTGGACAGTAAAACTCGCCGTGTGACATCAGTAACCACGGGAGCGACCAGAGGGAAATGGTATCTGACTATCAGCTGTATCGCTCCGGTGCACAAAGACACTAATGTGTTTGGAGCAACATCTGCTTCAAAGATTCATTTATTTATTTATTCATTCATTCATTCATTCATTCATTCATTTATCTATGTATTTAGTTATTTATTCATTTATTTATTGTGGTCCAGTGAATGTTTACTGTATCACTGTCTACCAGTGATCATCATAAACATCATGTGATGACAGCAGCCAGTGGACGGCAGTAGATGTAATGAATGACAGAGTTGCACTGCTGATGCTCTGGAAGCATCTCGATGTTCATCAAGCACCAAAAACAAAACACAAGTGCTGAGCAGAAGAAAAGTGGAGAAACTGTGTTTAACTGATATACTTATGTGATAATAATAATAATAATAATAATATAGTGTTAACCAATAGGATAGAGCTACAAAACTCAAAATGAGCTCTTAGGCAAGAAAAATGTTTGTTTAATGGAGGAAGTTCTTGGGATTTGATCATGTGATTCCAAAGGCTGGTGACTAAACCACTGAACTGTCTGTGACGGCTTTCAGTCGTGCGTCATGGTTATCCAAGAGAAGCTGAATCGAGGTTGTAGATACTTGAAGACTTGACTTTACCTCTCATCCGAGACTTTTACTTCAACTTTTCTTGGATATCTGTGCGCACAAACTCCGTGGGGCTTGCTCTGATCTTGTTTTGTTTTTTTTAATCTTTGAGGGGAAAGAAAATCAGGAAATTTGCATGTTTTAGCATTGTAATAATGTAGCTGCTAATGGCATGACCGGACGTGACTGCTTGTCGGCGTTTGAAGTAGGTGTAATTCCCTTCCTCTGCTGAAATGCAAAGCAGCCGCCTGTAGATCTGACGGCGACGAGCACACACACACACAAACACACAAATACACTCATGGATAGATCACACTCCGTGACCTTTTCACTGTCAGTTTCAATGGTGTGTACTTAAAGTATGCATGACAGGCATAACAGATGAGACGAATGGAACATCAGAGGAGAGGGAAGCTGCTCAGAGTGTACAGAGCTCACAAAGAGGGGAACAGAGATAGGTCACAACAGTAGTAATCTCCCTTGCTGCAGCAGTCGTAGTACGTTACAGTTGCAGAAGCAGAAGCTTTCCAAAGTAAATACCAACTGTGCAATTGCTCAGACAGTTTGTTGTAATTCCCAACACCTTGTAGAAACAAAGCAAGACCCGATTTTTTTATTATTTACTCTCCGTGGTGGATCAGTAGTTTCCTCTGCAGAAGAAACTTCAGTGGCAGGTTTCATCAGCAGAAACCTGACTGCACAAGGTAAGACCAAATAAAAGAAATCCAGCGTATACCTTGGACTTTAAATCTCCACGGACTGTTGCTGTGAGTAGATCACAGGGTTCCTTCAGGAAGAACAGACCGAAGCCTTCATGTGGTATATGAAGTACAGTTCATGATCCTCCGCGTTGCCCTTTTTGCTCACTTACTGTCCTATTTCTACTCTTTTCCGACATTTTTCCTTCCTCTTTCTTGAAGTTTTGTTTTTCCTGAGTTACAGAGGATTCAAAGAGGACAAAGACATGAAAGTCACGAGTCTACTGTCTGTGTTTGTATCTGCAGAGGGCTTGGCTGTGGGAGTTGGATTTGGAGCCATTGGAAAAACTTCATCTGCTACTTTTGAGAGTGCCAGGTAAGACTGGTGTCGAGGCCCACAAAGATCTGTACAGATCACATCTCTGTTTATCCAGAAATGACACTGTTCTTCGCCGGCAAGAGAGAAATGAAGTGAGTAATTCATGAAAAGCATCACAGCTGGCCACTAAACTGTGGATCCCGGGAAGCACCGTGAAACGACAGGTAGTCATGAGATTAAAATTAAAAATGTCTTTTTAGGTATTGTTCAATAAGTCTGTGGCGTTAACCCAATGACAAGAAAAACCGTGCTGTGTTGTGCACTGCTGACATCTAGTGGTCACACTGTGGTATTGCAGTCACACAGAGAGAATCTGACTGCACCTTCACTTAAACTTTATTTCTAACACATGGACGATAAATCCTCCTTTTTCCTGATCACAAAAACAANATGAAACGACAGGTAGTCATGAGATTAAAAAATGTCTTTCTTTTTTTTTAGGTATTATTCAATAAGTCTGTGGCGTTAACCCAGTGACAAGAAAAACCGTGCTGTGTTGTGCACTGCTGACATCTAGTGGTCACACTGTGGTATTGCAGTCACACAGAGAGAATCTGACTGCACCTTCACTTAAACTTTATTTCTAACACATGGACGATAAATCCTCCTTTTTCCTGAACACAAAAACAAAGTAAACAGAATTGAATCGTTGAAATAAAATATGAAAATAAAACATTTAAAAGAATATACAAGTAGATGATCATCAAATAAAAAGAAGGAAATTAGCAAGGGATCAGAATAGTACATATATGTGTTTTATGTAAAGATTCATCATATATTTTTAATATCTGAACATATACACATTTTATTATTGATATTTCATATATGTTTAAACTTATGTCTTCATATATCAGAGGATGTCTATATGTGATAATAATACATCCCCTTAACAGATGACATCACTCCTGATATAGGGACATATACTGTATGTCATATATGACATTTGTGTACAGGACAGGGCGTCAACATGGGCAGGACTTCCTGTAGTTGCATCCATACAAACGCCGGCTGGACGGAATTTAGCGTTAGTCTGGTGCTGCGTGGTTCGCTGCTGACATCTGGTGGTTACATTTTGGTACTGAGGAGGTCAAAACNCAGAGGATGTCTATATGTGATAATAATATATCCCCTTACAGATGACATCACTCCTGATATATGGACATATACTGTATGTCATATATGACATTTGTGTACAGGACAGGGCGTCAACATGGGCAGGACTTCCTGTAGTTGCATCCATACAAACGCCGGCTGGACAGAATTTAGCGTTAGTCTGGTGCTGCGTGGTTCGCTGCTGACATCTGGTGGTTACATTTTGGTACTGAGGAGGTCAAAACTCCCAGCAACACTTGCAGTGCACAGAAGAATACATTCATCATTCATCAGGTTCATCCAGTTCCTCTGTTTACTGCAAGTGTTGCTGGGAGTTTTGACTTCTTTAGAATATTTTTCCTTTCTCCGTGCACCCTGGAAGAAGATGGAGAGGTGCCAGAAACCTCAGCTTTGCTTCTACAGTCTCTTTTCTCATTAATGTGTCCGCACACATACACACATACACACATACACACATACACACATACACACATACACACATACATAAAGAGTCTGACTCTAAAGAAAGTGTACTTGAAGTTAAATATGTATTTGCCTGAAACTGGACGTCATGGTCATGATTTGTTTTCCTCTGATTTTAAACAGATATTTTACATTTCTTTAGTTAATCTCTCCGTCTCGTCTTGTTTTCATTTATTAGTTTTATTTATTTACTTTGTGTTCTTACTCTGTAAAGCGGCCTTTATTTATTATTATCATTGTTATTATTATCAATGGAAATCTGGTGATAGATTTTCAAGAAAATGTCACAAGAACGTAAACGTATGAAACCCTGTGTCGTTCTCCCCTTCATCAGGTGAGATATCTTTGTGTCTTGTGTTCTGTTCAGCTGCAAATATTTAATGTTCTGACTGTTTATTATTTGTGACTTCCCTCAGAAATCTGGCCATCGGCATTGGCATCCAGAATTTCCCAGAAGGCTTGGCGGTGAGCCTGCCACTCCGGGGCGCGGGGGTCTCGACATGGACGGCCTTCTGGTAAGGGAAGACACGTGTCTGTGTCAGCTGTGTCAGAGTAGGATAAACAAACAACAAACAACCATTGTACAGAAACAGTACAGATACTTTAAATTCAAATTCAGATACTGTAACTTGGTTGTTTGCAGACGCCATGTTTAGGCGTCTTTTCATCACTAAAAGTATCATTGCTTTTATCAGACCTGAGGGCAGCAGAAAGTTTTTATATTTTTAAAAGCAAACTCAAGACCTTCCTTCGTAGTCTTTTTATTGAGTTTTATTTATTTTATTTTTTCTATTTATTTATATATTTTAAACTGTTTTACTGGTTTTTTCCTTTTATTCTATGATTATTTTTATTAAATATTTTTTTATTTCTGTTTTTTTATTTTATTTTTATTTTTATTTTTATTTCATTATTCCTGGTTTTATTCTCTTCCAAACATCTCCTCTCTTTTAGCATTTTATTGTTTTATCTTTATTTTGTCTGAATCTTTATTTGATTTTTAATATTCTAATTGTTTTGTGTTGCTTCTTTTCTGTAAAGCACTTTGTGTTGCATTGTTTGTCTGAAGAGTTCAGTACAAAGAAAGTGGGATTGATTGATTGTTGTTGTTTCGCTCTCAGGTATGGCCAGTTAAGTGGCATGGTGGAGCCTGTTGCTGGGTTACTGGGCGCCGTCGCTGTGGTTTTGGCAGAACCTCTGTTGCCGTATGCGTTGGCATTTGCTGCCGGGGCGATGGTCTACGTGGTGGTAGATGACATCATACCAGAGGCTCAAGTCAGGTAAGAAGGATCATGGGTAAAGGAAGAAGAGCGCTCTTTTTTCAACATCACGCACTTTTCACATTTTGTTTTTTGTTTTTTTGTTTTAATTTTCTCTGTCTTGGCGTCACCAGTGGAAACGGGAAGCTGGCATCCTGGACCTCCATCTTGGGCTTCGTAGTGATGATGTCGCTGGACGTGGGCCTAGGCTGAGGTCACCGGGACAAACGGTACCATGTCAACAGAAACCCTCAGTGGCCGTGAAGTCATGACAGTGGTGCTGACCTCAGTTTTAAAAAGGGGACCAAATGAAGTGTTTTATTCTGAAACACTATTTATGAATTGTTGCTACTTGAAATTGATTCATTCAACAACAGGAAACAGAAGTGTTTTGTAAAACACACGAGGATGACTGTACTTGATTAATTATCGTTAATGTGTGGCAGATAACTCATTTGGGAATGAATTTATAAATATTTAATGAATATACTCCTGATTGCAGAGCTTGTGAATGTTTTTTGAGAGGATGCGGCTTTTTGAGTTTTTCTTTTTCAGAAAACATTTTTTTAGAAATAAAAAAAAAAAACTGTCAGTTATGAACGTTAAATGAATGTAATTTTTTTTTTTTGTTTGTTTTTAGTTTAATTCTTCCAGTTTTTGTATTTCCTCATAATGGCAATACTTGAAGTCTGGTGGTTGATTCGTTCATTCATTGGACCGTGCATGAAAAATTAGATTTTGCTAATTTCATTCTGCAAGGCACAGTGTGATTATGGTGTTCTGAGGTATGAAATTCCAAATGTGACTTATTCTCAATCTGCATAATTATGACATTTATGTGGATATTTGACAGTAATTAGTTGACTTATTCAGATGTAATACATCACTTTATCTTCTTCTAAACAAATCTCCCCCTCAACAGTCTCCTGTCATCTACAGCTCAGTCTGAAGGATCACATGATGTGATGTCTAAATATTAAAATGCTTAATTACATGTTAAATATTTATATAATTAAACAACCAAGTGATTCTCAGTTTCCTTCAACGTATTGGTTTTCTGGTCACTCAGTGTGTTTTAATCCATCTGCCTTTCGGACAGACATTTAAGATGAAGAAGATTCACTTCTCTGTCTGTCAGACTCTTGGTCAGTCAGTCCTCCACTTTGGTCCAGACTGAAATATCTCAACGTCTGACGCCCTGACTTTTCCTTTACTCCCCACCATGAGGTTCACATCAATTGTAATGTCGACCTTTTATCAACCTATAATACTTTGCCAAACTACTTTCAGTACATACCTGCCGGCCCGGTCACGAACTGACTAAGGAGACATGTGAAGGTTTTTAAATTATTGTGAGGTTTGGTTCTTATTTTTTAATTAACAAATAACAGAACAGAAAAACAGAAATTACAAAATTATTATAATTATTCTTATCATTTTGATACACTAACTACACTGAGTGATTTCACACATACTGACCCTGATCTAGTTCAAGTACTAGAGGGAACTTGTCTGAGGCAAGCTTGTAGTTTTCATAAAAGAAAAACAGCTCCTCTAAAGTACTTAGCCAACTTGTGATGAACATGTGACTGAAGAAGCTGCAGGGTAAATACTAATAATGAAACAGAGGCCACACACTATTTGTCCTCACATTTAATATTTTGACTTATCAGTCTTAACAAAACAACGCATGACAACAACAAGTCATTGAAAAAAGAAAAGACAAAGGTGGTCCATAAGCTGCAAATAAAACAAAAGCTGTAGCTGAAATAAAAATGAATTGACATAAACACGCCTCCATCTCACGTAGCTACAGAACTGTGGCTGGGACAGGTTTGTATTGCAGGAAGTTAATGAGACTTGTTGGCATCTCCAGCTGGTCGATACAGTGGATCTTGTCGATCTTTTTGAGGTATCTTCTGACAGCGAGTCGGCACTGTGAGGTCAAGGCTTTTGGATTTCCTGGAGACGGAAGAGACATAAAATGTGTAAGTAAAAACAAAAAAAGCTGATCACATGGGTGACACAATATAATACAATTAAAAACTCACTGTTTGTGTGATTTTAGTAAATTTTATCTAACAAGTTCTGTCTAAAGCTTAAGGGTGTTTTTTTGTGGCTGTTTGTGATGTTTACCAGAAATTAACTACTCAATGTAATTTGGGACTAATTTATTTCAAACTTTGTATTCTTGTCTGTAGACAAATTTACGCTGGGTTAAACTAGCAATTACCTGGAATTCATTTATTGCAAGTGCAACGAATGAACAACACTTCTACTTCCCTATAATTAGCACCACATTATATCGTCCTTTCCAGGGAACTTCCATGAAAATGATTAAAAAATTATTCAGAAATTACAGACCCATTAAAATAAAGTGGAACCAAAATGCTATTAACAATTTCCAAATTTGAGTCTCAAGATTATATGCAACTGCTCAAATTTAACAGGTATGCAGTGGCCTTCGGTTTCTTTCTTTGTTATCATTGGTACCATCCACTGAGAGAACAGAACAGAACAGAAACGTGGATGATTAATATTTTTCATTCAACACCTCTTTCCTGGAGAAGCAGCTCCACAGCCTCGTTCTGCTTCGTGGACTTCTCGATGATCAGCGTAGGAAGGTAGACGTTTGCACCGAAGTCGATCAGAAGCTGGATATACTCCACGCCACAGCCATGCCTGAGGCACATCTCCAGCACAGTTTTAGGCTGCTTGATAGAACTCAGCAGCTTTGCATCTGTGCAGTTGTAATCTGGGTCCGCCCCGTAGAGGAGCAGCAGTTTGAAACACTCCATGTGTCCGTAAACAGCAGCCAGGTACAGCGGCCCGCTCGACACCCTGGCACTGGAGGTCCAGAGCAAGACTTTGGAGCGAGAGTTCACCTCTGCACCATGTTTAAGCAGTTGCTTTAATATCTCCACATCACCCTCCCGAGCAGCAGTAAGTACAGGGGAGCAGTTGTTGGATGAGTTCCCGTTGGGGTTGGCGCCTGCTCCTAGGAGCGCTAAGACACAGTCCAGGTATTTCCCACGAACAGCTGCAAAGAGAGGCGTCTGAGCCTTGACATCCACGCAGTCTACCAAGGCTCCGTGGGCTAGCAGGACCTGCAGACAGCTGAGATGGCCTTTGGACACTGCAGCATGCAGAGGCGTGCCTGCAATGCCCCAACCACCTCTGCAGTTGATGACCTTCTTGTAGATTTCTTGGCAGAGCATCTCATCAAGGAGTCTGTCATTGTTTTGTAACACTGTTTGTCTTAGCTGAGAAATTTCACAACTACTCTCTTCTTCTTCAGAGGTCCTTAATCGGAGCATAGAACCTGCTCCAGAAAGACAGAAAATACACATCACATACAAATGATAAACATTAGTATAATACAAATAATAGACGACAAACTCTCTGTGTGCATATATATATATATATATATATATATATAGCTTTTATATATATATATATACGTGCTTTAAGATGTGTGCAGTTACTTATTTGTTAACACCATTATGTTGAGCTGCTAAGGCTGATATGTACACATGAAAAAACAACAAGCACACCAAACGTCTTTGAAAATATTTTTCTGTACTTTTACTTATTTAATGTTTATTAAGTGTTTCGTAGAAAATTGGGCATTAAAATAATAATATAAAATATGTTACTTTTGAGTAAAATATTTATTTCTAGCAATGACGTCTTCTTGTGTTGTTGTTGTTGTTCTGACAGACGGATGATGGGGAAAGAAGACATATTTAACGACAGCTTGATGCATAAACGCTGGCTAAATGTGAACTATGTTCCGTACTACAGTACAGTAGCTACCTATTGTATCTCCATTCAACACACAGTTTAACGTCACCTATCTGTGCTAATACGTGCTCCCCAACAGGGAGGATTTTGCTAATATTCAGCTAAAACAACCAACTCGACGTTAACCAGCAAATTTCGTGTCGCAAACTTCGCGTGCCCTGGCTTTTAAATGAGTTCTGGCAACATAAAGTACCGTTTCTAATATGTTTTTTTTTATTGTTTTATATCGGCCTACCTACGATGAGTCTTCACTTGCTGCTGCCTTCATCTTCCTGTTTCATCTTCTTCCTCGTCGTCGGCTCCGTCGTCTCCGTCGTCTTCTTCTTCTTCTTCTTCTTCTTCTTCTTCTCGTTCTTCTTCGAGGTTTAATGGCGGCTGGCGAATATTAGCATTACCGCCGCCAACTGGTGTGGAGGGTGTTTTTGGGCCGGTTAAGATTTTCCTTAAAGTCTGAATTAAAGTTTCCTTAAAATGTTCACTGATGTATTTAAGGTTTTCTTCCAATCTTATTTTTTATACTTAAGAAATCACTTAACTACGCAGAGGGAGTGATGTGCTGAATATCAGAACGGCTGTGCTTCGGTCATAGGTAGGTAGGAAGCCACTAATCATTTGATACCAATGGTAATTTTAATATATTCATCTTTGCAAAGTTTGTTACAATCTAAGACAGATAACGACCGTTAATGTAACGCTAAATAACGGTTACCGGAAACACCTGTGAAGCGGAGGGATACATGTAGTTAAATGTCCCAGTGCTGTACATGTTTAGCATGACGACAATAGGCTTTAGCACAAAGTATGGCTGTGCCTAACTACAGCCATTAGCATGTCTAGTTATGCGATTTTAACATGTTTTGTATATACAGGCTTAATCTGTGAATTAATTAAAAAGTAAAAAGTATATTGTAACTGTATTCCCAATTAAGCCCCCCCCCCCCACTTTCTGAATCTCTTTCTCACGTGAAGGGAAAACTACTATCTCATAAAGAAGAATACAATTGTAGTCCTCTCCAGGCAACACGGATTGGCATCCTTTCTTTTAAAGCTAGGTCTGTTTAGTTTGCATGTGCGTCACAAAGCCTTTGTTTGGTTATTGATGAGGTCTTGGGTGTTGGTGCTTGGACAACAGGCCGCTGGCACAATGCAGAAGAACTTCTTTACTAAAAATGTTTTGACAACCCAGAACAAGATAGTGATTCCTCTAAATTCCTAAAACATAGATAAAGCAACCATTTGCACCCAAAATAGCACAGACACAAAAACGATCCTTTGGTTTTCTGAGACTTGTTTCTGTCAGGATCTTTAGTTGCATCCTGACTGAGGGAATCTGATTGTTTCTGTTGAGGGCCCGGGGTTTTACAACATGGTAATGAGCAGCGCCGGCCTCCTCTGTCCACTCTGCCTCTGTAGCTGTTGCTGAGAGACAAAGTAGAAGTCACCCAGGCGCTCAGAGAGAGCGGAGGCCTTTTAAAACAAGACACCACCATAACTCATTGTGTGTGCAGGACGAAGGGAGGGGTGTTAGTGGAGGGAAATGTGAGTGTGTGAGTAAAAGACAGAGGTGGATTTGAAGTGAAGGAAGAGGGATTGAAAGGGACAGTAAATGTTTAACACTCGGGATGAGGGGAGACTCCGGTGACAATGACCGAAAAAAAAAAAAAGATAAGAGGAATCCAACCATTTAACGCAATGATGGGAGAGTATTGATTTCTGAGATGTCCCTGTGGCGATCATGCAGAGACAACTTTTTTATTCTCAGAGGAATATGATTTGCTCTGCAAGATGACAGGCACACTTGTGGCACTACTGTGGATTCTGTGTGTGGTTTGGATCAGTGCAGCTGGAGGTGAGAAGACTCATTTTATAATGAATTAAGACTAGAAATAAAGAAGGTGATATTTTCTTTATCTTGTTCAGGGAATTTCAAGTCAGCGAGAAATCATAGCTTTGAACTCTCCAGTTTCCCTACTCTGTAATTATCCTGGGCAACGGAGGCACTGCTAAAGCTCAACTTTTTCATTTTTACTAGCCTGTATTTTATATTTTATAAGGTTTTTCTGAATTTAACTTCTCATATAGCCCTTTTTTATCTCAAGTACAAGTGAACTTTTCCATCATTACGATGTTTAAGAAAGTATTCCCAGCTGCACTGCTGTCATTCTCACTCAGAAATATCCCATGAAATGATTATTCATAGTGTCTAAAGGTTAATTCACAGTGATGAATGCATAGTAAATGTACAGCCACATTGTGAAAGTTTTATAAAGTCGGACAGTGAATAGATTTGAATCTGAGTTTTAATCTGAGCTGAGGATGAGGCCGACATGTGTAATATTTGAATGTAAGAGATCGCTGATGACTGCTCATAAAAGAGTTCATCTTCTTTTCTCTGCACTTTGATGCAGACAGTACGAAGAGGTTTGGCAGGAGGAGACGGACAGAAACTCAGGGTATATTGAAGAGAACCTGCCAGTGAGCAGGTTAGGTTCACATATTAAGTTACCATGGTAACTGACTCAGAGTTAAAGGTATTTCCCTCATCTCGGGTTTTTACTAAACACACTTCCTGGAATACCAGTTATTACAAACTGACCGTTAATATCTTTAGCAGCTGAAAAAACAAGTGGAATCTTCGACGGCAGTTTGGTTTCTTTATACATATTTGTGGCTGAGATGATAATTGATCCGATAAGCGATCTGTGTTGAGAAATGATTCCTCCTGCATGCTGTCAGCTCAGTGTGTGATTACTGCCCTTCAGAGGACATTCCCTGTCCGAAAGGTGGGCGGATCCACTTGTCCAGCACGCGATGTTACTGGATCTCCGAGAGGACATCTTCATGGTCTGAGGCGCAGGATTCATGCAGAGAGACTCCGGGAGGGGGTCTAGCTTCTGCTGACAGCCCGGAGCTGCAAAACTTCATCCACTACTCCTTTCCACTGTGAGTCCCATGAACAGTGTTCGTCTACTTTTACATCATGTTTTACTCCTCCCCGGTTTCTATCTTTTAAGAGCAGTTGCATTTTGGTCCCTGTTTTTTTGTCTAGGAAAACCACTGTGTGGGTATGGCTGAAGGGATTTGAGGGAGAAAGGCCCGAGCAGGCTGGGGTTGTGGAGCCAGTAAGTCCTGCATGGTTGGCTGGAGGCAAAGGGGGTGAAAGTGGGTGTACCCAGATGGCCTTGGGGATACGGGGACAGCGGAGGAGAGCAGATTGTGCTGGACGATTCCTCTACCTCTGTGACAAAGAAGTAACTGGTGAGACTCTTGTTTCACTGAGGAATGACAGGGGCACACATGAACATAAAAAGTCCTTCCGTAATTCTGTAAAATGTAAAATGACAGCACCAACAGTTTGGGTATTTAATGGCGGCAATGCCAGAATGAGTGATTTTGGTTTATCCCTGTTCATGCAGAGGCTTTAGCGTCTGTAGACAGTTACCTGACTGGATTGGTTCTCATGACTGGCATCTATGCTCGAACCCAGATACATCCGCTTCCCAGTGTCCCGGACATTGGACAACGCACAGTGGAGGTCAGTAAAATGTCGGTCTCAAAGCCTGATTCCCGACCTAGAGCACAACATTGTTTGGTGGTAAAGGGTCAGAGGTTAACATCTACACACTGAGAAAGTTATAACACCTCAACACTGGCCCGACATGTTGCGATACTGTTGTTGTGCGTGAAAAGTAGTTAGCAGGCGAGCAGAAAAAGCTAATGGATAAATAGTTGAAATAGAAAGCTGAAGTAATAAAAACTAATAGTTAGACAAACATAATGGACACATGGCTAAAATAGCTAGCTACAGTAAAGTTATGGTACGATAATGATTGAAACTGATCAGTTAAAAGAAATGCAAACTTGACCAAACCAAGCTAAATGCTGACAGTACAAGTGTATAAAAAATATTGTAACAATATCTACTTTTAAATAATTAACAGTATTAAATAACATGCAGTTCCAAATTACTTTTAATTATATGTTTGCTTGCTTAGAGAAGTATATTGTAAATATATATCATCACTGTAATCCCCCTGCACTGGAGTGCTTTGGACTTCGTATTGTCGGTTTATGTTCTGGAGCTCCTTTGACGCCCACAGATGCAGCTGTTCCCAGGACTGTGGTTCAGTCACGCTGGTCAGTTGGTAACAGTGGAGCTGGTGGTCCGGCCAAGCCCACTGTCCTCTCTGGCCCGTGTTCAGATCCTTCGACCCTACTGCGACCCCAACCACCACCTGGTACCTCCAGGTACAGCACATCAGTTACTAAGAATGTTTTCTGAAGGCAGCACTGTCACTGTAGGTGATGCTAAACGGTGCTGTTAACAATCTCCTCTTTGCTCATCAGGTTGCAGCTCTCTCCTTAATCCATTCAGCTGCTGCTCAGCGGTACCACTGTGTAACACTACAGGGGGCTGCAGCACGGGTCAGTACTGGTGCCACCTGCTGGAGGCCTGTCTGCCCACCACCAGTCCCTGCAGCCCCTACGACTCTGCAGCAGGGGGCCGTGGCTTTGCTTTACCTCCCAGATACCCTGCAATACCACCCTTCTACCACCTCGTGGCAGACCTGTCTCTGAGAATAAACCCCAGCTCTGAACTGAAAACTATGAGCGTGAGTTGACCTCTGTTGCACTTCATCCACAATGTACAAGTAGAATAGAGTAATACTTTAATACTCACCTGTCTTTTCTGCCACAGCTGCTTCTTCCAGATTCAGAAATCATGGTGTACCCGGACGATATTGTGGCTATACAGCACACTCGCGACTCTGGAACTTTCCTACATTGCCTCAACAGTGAAGCTTCTCTAAACTCCTCCTGGCGCCAGAGTTACCTGTCCCTTAGGGGGGCAGAGTGGGGAGGCTGGTGGCAGGGAGGACTTACTTCGCTGACCCAAGGAGGCCGGTGGGTGGATGGAGTGGTGTGTGATCTGAGGATGCTGTACATGGACACTCTTCACAGAGGCACAGAGCTCAATGATATCTTTGACTTCACACACACAGAGGAAACCACAGCCCTTGATATTAGGCCCCTGACTCCAGATCCTACTCCGAGTTTGGGATCTAAATTTAGGCTTAATGTCATCCACCCTCTGCCGGACGAAAAGAACCAAATTCATGTCCAAATCAACTCCCCAACACTCATTGTAATAAAGGTCCTTTCTGGTCAGAACGCCAGGAGCTCATGGTCAGCCCCAGTGCTCCAAACTGGGGTCCCCTTTCTTCCATCTTGCCCTGAAGATGTGGCTTCGTCTTGGCCTGGCTGTAAGAGACAGTCCCTTGAAGACTGGTTCTCCTCTGTGACTCTCTCTTTGCCCTCAGTGGGGGTTCAGACATTGAACATCAGTGTGGCGGATGCAGTAAACTCTCAGAGTGTGAGTGTGAAAGTATGTGGCCACGAGGCGGTGACAGGGCTCAGTGTTGAGCCACATGGATGCCTGAGGACAATAATCGACAAGTCACAGGTGAGAATGCAGTCATTTATTTACAACGCATGCATTTTGCATATTTGACCAAATGTTTTAGTAGCTATGATAGCAGCGAGACAGAAATGTCTGTCGGTCAATCCATCATGTTGGTCAACACAGAAATATCTAGCAACCACCTTAGTGGCACCAAGACGTTTGAATCTGTGGTTTTCAGTGACATGTTCTGACAACTATAGGATGTAAAAATGACTTAGTAAACACCATCATGTTAACACAGTTATTATGAGCATGTTTGCATGTTGATGTTTAGTTTTAACTCAAAGCACTACTAGTGTTTAACAGCCTTAGAGCTGCTAGTGTGGCTGTAGTGTTATTGACATCCTGTCAAAGGAAGGTGGAAATGGAAAACTATAATTTTGCAAAAAAACACCGTAGTTTTGTGCCATTTTCTCTCACAATGGTATATTTTTATGATTTTATATTGTAGTCTTTTACAGCCAAAGTAGAGGGCGGCTCTTCAGTAAAATTCACATGGGTCATTGACAACCTGGAGAAGTTTGCCTATGAAGGGGAATCTTACACCGTCGTGTTCAAGAAACCTGCCGAGCATAAGCTCAGGGTAAAACACTTTATTGTCTTTATGATATTACATTTGTCCAGTTATTTCCTTTTGATGTGTTACTGAACTTAATTCAGGATGACCAGAAATAGTAAAAAAGGAAGAAAGAAAAAAAGTAATCTGCAAACCTCATACTAGGTAACAGCATCCAACCCTGTGAGCTCCCAGAGCCAGCAACTCCTCCTGACGGCCGATGAAATGACCCCACTGGCTGAGCCAGAGTTCCAGTTTGTCAGGGAGGTCGTAGCTGTGAATGCTACACACCTCTACACCCTCAGGGTCAAAGTGGACACCTCTATGCCAGTCACCTTCAGGTATATATGGGTATAAATAACCCTCAGAAATCCTCAGAGAAAATGATCAGAATGGCATATTCTATACCTTACTTTACAACAAAGAATTCCACCTTGTTGTTTTTGGTCTGGTAAATCTAAATTTCCATGTGGCACATGTCATGCAGGTGGGATTTTGGGGATGGCAGTAGAAAGGTGAGCCAGGCCCAGTCTGCTCCATGTCAGACCATGGAAGGGCGTGTGGAGGGAGGAGAGAAGCAAGTGTATGTCCAGGACTCAGTCAACTATACCTATTCCATTCCAGGTAAACATACACGCAAACTATTAAAGCTGCACAAGACAACATTTTTATATTAACAGTGGCTCAAACACTTCATGTTTTGTGCAACTTTGCCATTTCTCTGAGCATTTTTGCATCTTTCTGCTCATTGTTTTGGCTGTAGAGCCTGCAACTTTACATTTTGTTAGCTCTCACCACATTCATCAACCATGTTTCCAGTAGCAGTAGGCGGATAAACCCACAGTATGCTGCAGTAGTAAATAATTGAAAAAAAGTAAGCCATTAGCTGGTGACCGTAGTGGAGCACTTAGCTGGTAAAGAGTGAAATGTTTACCTTTATTTTGACAGGGATCCATGAAACATTTATAGATCTTTTTCAACCTCATTTACATCTTTTTATATATATACTGTATGTTCTTGAAATTTTAGATTTTCTGAAAATTCCCTTCTTTATTGACATTCAGAGGTAGCAATAAGAATGACACTGGTTGACTCTGTGCTAACTTATTATTCAGTACATCAAAGTAAAACCCATTTTAATATTTCATTCTATGCAGATGACTACACACTTCATGTCCAAGTCTCCAACCAGTATGACAACATTGGTGCATCCATGAAGATTAATGTCCGCCCTAAGTTGAGTCATGTCCACATTTCCTCTTCCCCCCTGGTACCCCTTGTCAAACATACTCTTCTTCTGGAAGCTTCTGCAGAGCCTTCCACCCATGCTGTCTTTTACACGTGGGACTTTGGCGATGGCTCCAAACCCGTCCATGGCAACCAACATAAAGTCCATCACTCCTTTGGATCTGCTGGGTTTTATAACATCACAGTGTGTGCCAACAACACTCTCACAACCCTGACCGCCTGGCTCATCCTGGAAGTTATGGAGAAAATCTCCGGATTAACCATTAGTTACAGTGAACTCAGTGAAGTAAGCTCTGCAACAGATTTCAGAGCTAAAGTTGCCACAGGTACAAGTCTCATCTGGGATTTTGACTTTGGTGATGGGTCCCTGCGGGGAAACCTTACAGACAGTTCCATCTCTCACATCTATAAGTCTCCAGGGAATTATACAGCAGTTGTAACTGTCTCCAATTCTGTCAGCAAAGTTCATCAGTCTATCAGGGTAGAGGTCTACAGTTTGGCTGTTAGTGGAGTTCTTCCTAAAGAATGCATCATAATTGGAAAAGACGTACAACTTACTGCTCTGGTGACGGGGAAAATATCCATTCTGAGTTTCCATTGGCAATTTGGAGATGGAGCACCTTTGACTGTAGTGACAGGACAGTCCACAGTCATGCATTCATTTCCAAGCCAAGGGGCTATTCATGTTAGCCTGACAGTGTTTAGTTCTCTTACATCTGTATCATTTAATACAAGTATCTGTGTTGAAGCACCAATAACCAGCATGGCAGTGCAGTCATCACAGGATGTTGCAGCAGTAGGAGAAGAGGTATGCTTCAGGGTGTTTGTTTCCCCTGAACATATGACAGGTTACCAGTATAAGTGGTTTAGCAACTTTTCTAGTCTCACCAGCAAGATGGAAAACTCTCAGAAGTGCTTTGTCTTTAAAGATGAAGGTGTTGAAGAGGTTTCAGTAATGGTAAGTAATAAAGTCAGCAACAAAACAGCCAAGGTTGCCATCACCATTCAAAAACCTGTGAGTAAGCTCTCTTTGGTGCATGATAATCAAAGTGACACACTGACAGTCAATACATTAGCATCATTTTGGGTTGCTAATTGCACTGGAAGCAATGTGTCAGTACTGTGGGACTTTGGAGACGGTTCTCCGGTGGAGCAGAAGCAAAATGTGTCACATGTCTTTACCTCGACAGGTCATTTCACAGTCACTGCCACAGCATCTAATGTGGTGAGCAGAGACTCTGCGATCCTCAAAGTGCATGTTTTACTTCCTGTCACAGACCTTTCACTTCACACCAACCAGCCGTATGCTGTAGTAGGAGAGGAAACTCTTATCACAGCACTTACTAGTGCTATCAGTAGCACCAACTACTACTGGACTGTGGACGGTATAACTTCAACCAAACAGGGGACCTATCAGTTTATGTTTGCTTTCCCCAAACCAGGACTATATCAAGTGAGGGTTATAGCCCAGAACTTGGTGAGTAGCAGGGAGGCAGCTATTTTAATTGAGGTCTTTGAAAGAATAGAGGGTCTCCAGATTGATTGTCACGGGCTGACAAACATGAAATACACACCAACCCAAGAGGAACTGCTGTTCATTGCCTCAATCACCAAAGGCTCCAATGTTACTTATCACTGGCTTGCTGCACAGGGCGGAATAAACCGAGAGATCACTGGTGATGAAAAGCTTTTTCATCTGTTTGCTGAAAGACCTGGCCGTATCTCAGTTCAGCTAAGAGCCTCAAACAAGTTGGGTGAGGCCACCAGTATTGTGTTTTTAGAAACAGTAGAGCGTGTAAGAAGCGCACACATCACAACACAATCAAACATTGTGGCATTGGGGAAATTAGTGAATATTTCTGTGTCCGTGGTTGCTGGGTCAGACCTCGAGTACCTTTGGTATGTGAACTCTGATCCATCCCCCCTGCAGACACATACGCCCTTTCTTCTTCACACTTTTACAAGTTTAGGCCATCGTCTTGTCACAGTTTCAGTTCATAATGTTTTCAGTCAGTCTAATGACACCGAACAGTTCATTGTCCAAGAGGAGGTTCAAGATGTGGATTTTGAAATTGAAGGAAAGATGCATCCATTTTTTTTAAACACAAGTACTGCCGTTACACTCCATGGGCTTATTCTTAAGGGTAGTGATCTGCACTGGGACTGGAAAGTTAGAGGAGCCAAAACCAACCTTTTTAATGCCACTAATCGGACCTTTCTCTACACTTTTACACATGTCGACATCTACCAGGTGTCTTTGAATGTCTCCAATGGAATAAACTGGCAGATGGTTTCACACAGGGTCACAGTCCAGGATGGAATCGAAGGTCTTCTGCTGAATATAAGCAAGTCTTCCCTCTGCGTTGAAGAAGAAGTTACCTTTACTCCAACAGTCTCCATAGGAAGCAACGTAAGCTTTGTTATAACATTTAGAAACATAGACTGGATACACAGTCAGGACATTCTCAAGGGGCAATTCAGCACATCAAGCCTTCCAGCTGGGAGACATCTGGTCACAGTGAAAGCTTGGAATCTAGTCAGTAGTGCTGAGGTGTCTTCCAGCATACTGGTCACTGAGCACATTCAAGGTTTACGACTTGTAAACTGTTGTTCCACTGTTCTAGAGGCTCTGAAGGGAACCCGTTTCAAGGCTGAGGTTCAGAGTGGGTTCCCAATTAACTACACCTGGATATTTCACTTGGTGGGGTCGAAGCCCACATGGCTCACGGGCCGAGAAGTGATCTTTACTCCACAAGAGAGTGGTATATTGTCTGTTAGTGTGGTAGCCAGCAACGGAGTCTGCTCCCAGATGCTAAATGAGACAGCTTCAGTGGAGTGGCCTGTTAAGAAGATCAAGCTCATCTGTCATTCAGAGAGAGTATTTGTTGGATACGCTGTCAAGTTTTCTGCAACTGTGAATGGAGGGAGCAACGTCAGGTACCTCTGGGACTTTGGAGATTCCACTGAAGTGTTGGTGACAGACTTTAGCGCAGTCAATCATACTTATTATATTGCTGGAAAATACAGTGTTATGGCCAAAGTTCTCAACAGTGTCAGCCACGTGTCCACACAGCTTCACGTGGAAGTGGAAGAGCTCCAGTGTTCCAGCCCTGAAGCTTCTCTAGTCCAGAGCCAGGCGACTATCTACAGGTCTAGACCGAGTTTCTTTGAAGCCAGCGTGGACATTAACTGCTCTACTTACAAGACCATCTACAAATGGGAGATATCCGCAGGGTCTGATTGTACAAATGGGAATGTAAATTTCTGCGGGAACAATGTCATTCTTAGAAGTCCAGTGGATGCATCTTCGCCTTTTCTCGTACTCCCGAAGCATACTCTCGATGTGGGACAGCATCGCCTTGTATTCACCGTTTCACTCCAGGGAACTCCTGTATTTGTCCAACGGACAACCAACATCACGGTGGTCCGTTCCCCGCTGGTAGCCGTCATCAAGGGAGGCTCGCACAAACTGTGGCCCTGCCTCAGTGACCTCATCATGGATGGATCTGAGTCTCAAGACCCTGATGTGGAGCCAGGAGTGGAGCATGCGCTGGAGTATCACTGGACCTTCATGAGAGCGGTAAAGGCCTTTTCATGTTGAATTTCTCATGGAATTGAAGTGATATAATTTGTTATTGTTGTGAGTTTGATAAGTTTGAAAGGAGTGGGGTGTAGTATTAATTCTTTGATACACACATGTCACACTACTAACACTACTAACACGTGTATGCACAGAACTCCACGGATTGTCATTTTGAAAAGCAGCCCATTGGGAGCAACAGCAGTAGAATGACTGTACTTGGCGTTCAGCTGCACCCAGGCACAGTCTACATTTTCACCCTCACTGTACATAAGGCTGGGAGGAACCCTGCATCTGTCAACCAGACGGTGAGGATTACACATCATCCCACATATATACCCAACGCCTACCCACAGCTTTATCACCTTCCAACTGATTTGTTGAGGAAGACTGTATGAAGTTTTGGTGAATATCTCTTGAAAAGTTTTGAAGACTTGGGCAATAATGTAGCAAGCAAAAAACTCACACTATGGTACATTGCTACACTGATGTTTATCTCTTATCTTTAGGTAACTGTGTGTGAAGCTCCTGTGCTTCCAGTGACTGTGGACTGTGTGTCCTGTTCTGATCTCTCCTTCACTCACCACATCAGCTACACCACCAACATCGTTCTCACTGGACAATGTGAACAATGTGATGGCCAGACTCAGGTAATGTTTCTGAAATTAGCTTTCACTTATGCATAAAGTTAATTTCATTTCGGTTATTTATGTAGAAAAAACAAAACAAACAATCTCTGTTAAACAGTGGTCTCGTGAGGAGAATGCTAAATGCTAAACTTTTAGCTTAAGGCAAAACAAGTCTTGAAAACATGACAAAAGAAAATGCAATGGTAGTACACGTGGAAACAAGATTTTAAGGCATTTGTTATTATTTGACTGGATACACAGTCAGGGCATTCTCAAATTTAGCATTGCTTAATTAGCTAAGATTAGCTAGATTATTTTAGCAAGCTAATAAAGTAAGACATTTACTGTTATATTTTCTTTTTTCACAGTACAAATGGAGTGCTGAAGACCAGACCGGCATGACCCTTGACCTCAATGAGGTAACCACCTCTACAGGGAGACATTCACCTAACCTGGTGGTACGTTCAGGTGTCCTCCAGCCAGGACTGAGTTATACGTTCACTCTCAACGTATCCCAGCCTGGCGGAGGTCAGTGGGGCAGCGACAGCCTGACTGTACCACCAAACACTCCACCACACGGAGGTGTATGTGATCTCAGTCCACAATCAGGCATACGTCCGCTGGAGACAGTGGTCACCTATACCTGCTCAGGTAACATTGTGGTGTGTGCTACACAGTTCAACTTGTTTTTTTTATCTTTATCTTTAGCTTTCTTTTTTATTTGTCCTTTTTTTGTTTTTGATTTTACAATTCTTTATTTGACATGTCACTGGAGTAACTGCTTTACCTCTTAAAGTAATTTGTCAGTGTACCAGTGGACAAATATAATTAATTGTACAGTGTCTTCCTAACATCTGTTCTCTTTTGGCAGGATGGCAAGATGATGAAAGTGAGGCATCTCAGCTGATTTATACATTTCAGGTGGCACCCTGCCGGCCCATTAGCGCCATGTGCCCTACGCTCACACTGTACAGGTGATTACTGGCCTTAAAACTATTAGTACACATGATCCTAAATGTTTAAAACTGCATCAAGAAGTAAAGTTTTAATTTGCTTTGTGAAAAGCTTTTTATCCTGTAAAGGTTTTAGTTAATGAACTCCCTAGTTCCTTTCACCTAGGGGAACCCGTTTAACATTTGGCAGCCTGGTTCCAGTGGGAGAATCTGGGCAAGAAAAACACACGTCAGTTATCACAGTTACTTTGTTGGTAGAGGACTACCTGGGCTCAACGGTCATTGCTCTGAACAGGTAACAGTCCTGTTGGGGTGTCCCATTTTCACCCATTACTATTATTATGTTCGTATTCTATTATTATTTCTGATTTGTGTGAAATGTAATAAATGAAATGAAAAGTCCAAGATTTGAAGCTGGCACAAAGTAATCACTTCTGTTCACTACGAGCTGTGCCTGACACTTTATTTCATCAAAGGTTGAATAAATCATTTGAGGGCAGAACACATCACGCCCAACGTCTTTGTCAAGTTTCAGTCGACTCTCACCACACTGGATTCCTCTCCTCTCTAGAACACTGAGAATTGAAAATCCTACGAGGGACGAAGTTGCCAGTCAGTGGCTCAGAAACAAGAGCCAGACGGAGCTGTGGGCTTTGGTCCAACATGGCAACCCTCAGGAGATCATCCCTTATTCCATTGCCCTTACCAGCCAGCTCAATCAGGTCGTGTGTCACTGTCATATTTTCATATTCCGGTGCATGAAATGACGCATACAGATTAGAGTTAACTCCCATTTATCCACCAGAGGATAACAGGATGATATCATAAGCATCATTGGATGTGAGATTTGCACCTGCTAAAAAGATTGAATGATGCGTTTCACTCGAATCAACAGATGCCGTCTGGACGGACTGCGAGGGAGCTCGAGGACAGGAGGGAGATCCGGGGGAATGTGTCTCAGGCCCTCGCTTCTCTCTCCATGTCGTCTTTGCTGGATGTTGATCAGATCAGCTCAGCACTGGCACAGTCCACTGTGAGTGAGCACTCTCGTTTCACATCTTGTTGATACACGTGACATCAGTATTACAGGAAACCTCAGAAATTGCTTCAGAGAAAGAGAGAGAAAGAAAGAGAAAGCCAGAGAATGTCAAAAGGAATAGTTTGGGAAATCTGCTTATTTGTTCTCTGGTGCACATTTAGATGTGAACATTGATACCACTCTCATATCTACAGCCAGCAGCAGGCCAGGCAAAGTAACTTCCTGGAGTCTCCATTGGTTACTTGGCATGAAACAGTCCGGCACATAACCCCCTGTTAAACTGTCAGTTGTTGCTTCTACACCTATTTTGCTGCACAGATTAAACAAAGTAAATGTAACCCGTTCATTAGTGAACGAAAACAAATGTGCATTTTACACAAAAATGTCGGGGGCTACACTTTACGGCAGCTGTAGGCTCCAAGGTTACAGGAGGCGGCGGCGGCGGAGGTGCCCTTATCTGACACTTCAGGGCTACAGCAAGGATTGTGATTGGCTGCTTGTGTTTTATCCTACCTCCTTCTGATGCCGGTGGGGTTGTTGTTGATTGAAGGAAACATCAAGGAAGCGATTACACTGCAAACCTTCTGCTCACCTTGGTAGTCTGTGATTCAGTCTGAGACGCAGCAAAATAAGGTTTCATGTTACCAGGATGTAACTCCGGTTCAATAAATAAGTAGAAGTAAATGTAAATGAAAGAACTGAACCCACTACTATAAATCAAAACCTACGCCGCAGGTTCTTATGGCAGGACTCCTGTAGCAAGTTGCATTTGCTAAATTACTTTGTAAGGTCATTGGATTGTAGGTTAAATCAATACACACAGAGGATATTTAGCTTGTTTAGGAAGCCCCAATTTGCATGAACACCACAAGCAGACAGAATATTGCCACTTCATTTTTATCCTGAGTAGCTCGCCATCAAAGGCCATGCAAACGTAACGTTCAGGGACCAAGAGGAACAGGAAGCCATTTCACACCAGAACCCATTTTCCAGATTCTCACGGCTCCAGTTTCACTTGTGTTGAATGTTTTCCTTCTTGTTTTTCAGGCAGTGCCTCGTGAGCTGGTATGTAAAGGCTGCCAGGAGAAGGTTCTGGAAGCTGTGGGGAGGATGATCCATGTGATGGAGACAGAGATGCGTCCCGGTGTTTTATCAGCTCTTGAAACAGGAAGGAACATCCTGAACGTCATAGGTGTGTCATCAACCGCCCTCCTCGTGCATGAAATGGTGAAAAGCAGACTGTGAAGTGACGTTACAGAATAGGTGGTTATCGTTCTGTTCTCTGCGTTCCCAGGTTGCACCTTGGCTGCTGTTTCTGAATCGGCCGGCGCCTCCAGTTCTTACGAAGGCGACACCGGCGCTGTGCGGTCGGCTGTTACAGTCGCCCTGTCGGCGCTCGCTCACGCGGGAGCTCTAGTGCGCTCTCTGATGCACTCACGTGTTCACGGCGAGGAACCCTTTTTGCTCTCTACCCCTTATGTCAGTACAGTTGGTTTCCAAGGAGACCCCTCTGACCTCCTCTGCAGTCACCAGACAAACCAGTTCAACCAACGCCAGATCCTCCCCTCTCGGTCGCCATCAGCTGACGGCTCAAATAGTTCCCGCCGGTGTCAGTTTCACATCCCCACCTCCCTTATCGCTCACCTGAAGAGTCAGAGGTCGGAGGTGGTGCAGGTACTGTTCGGTGTGGATGGAGCGCTCGAGTCCAGCCCGATGCTGACTGCAGCTGACCCTCCCATTTCAACCTCTCTGGTTGCCATGGAGCTCACCACTCCTCAGGGTGAGCCCATACCCATCAGGGATCTGGACCTTGCAGAGGCCATACAGGTCACCCTGCCCCACAAATACCTTGTGGGACAGGGAGATGAGGGTGGAGATGGGAGAGTGGGTGAAGACAGGAATGGGACATGCCTCACTGTAACACTCCCCGCTGAAGGACAGCTGAAGTTCACGGTGAAAGCTGTGGATGGATTGGATGAAAATGCAGGTTTATACATCTCCTTCAACTTCAGCCTCACCCCAGGTACAGTAGATTATTTTTCTTCCTCTGGATCAATAAAATTTTACTTTCTTTCTATGCACCTACATACTTACTACTGATGCCTTAGTCTTTTGTTTTGTTTTTGTTTGTTTTTGTTGGGGGTTTAAAAGCTGCACTAACCAATATTTTTATATCGACAGTGGATCAGATGACTCTCACCATTCTTATCAACCTTGTTTACTTAAAGCTACTGTCCACTACAAGCCCAGCAGCAAACCGCAGACAGTTAGCAGCTAGCTGGTGTGAACACATTGGAGCATTTAGCAAAGATCTTATATGTTAATATAAATATATATATTTAATCTCAGGATTCAGAAATTAAAGTCAGAATTGTAAAACAAAAAAGACAAATATTCCTCTTCCGTATGAGTTCAAATTTGACACATGTAGTGGCTTTAAATATTTCTGTCATTGTGACGTAATGAATGAACTGCAGTGACTTCTGGGAAGTTAATGTGACATTTCAGATGTCTAAAGTCATTCAGTCGAGTAATGAGAATCAACCGTCTTTAAAGTTGATCATGCAGCACCTGCACAATTATTAATTCAGCTTTTCAAGTTCATGCATAAGTTATGGATTAAAAAAGGCTTTTTTTCAAGCTGCATTATGCACTTGTAGGAGCTACTCCAGTGAGTTTGGGACATGTCAAGATAGAAGTGAGCTCTTCAGCGCCAGGGACTAATGCATCCCAGGATTCCCTTGAGAGACACTGGGCTCTCGCTCTCTCCGCTCCG